ACATCCAATGATGCAACTATATTAGATTCCAATCAAACTGCGTTGAATAAATTTCACAAATTTGAAAAAAAAAAATTGTATTATAAAAATTTATTTCACAATTATTTCCCGTTTCCTTCCTTTCAAAATTTTATTTTATAATGAAAATTTTATAAAAGTTTTCGACAGTAATTAAAAATTAAATTCCATGCATACTTAAACAATTTTCCACATTTGAAACAAAAGTTTCCCTTCACCAAGAAAAAAAATTTTTCATAAAATAACTAATAACCTCTAAATAAATTCTCAAATCCAAAACACAATTTAACAAAATTGTCGCTATTGTGCAAATTTTAGTTATTCCTACTATGTATCCACTAGTATTATTTATATCAAATTTACCACAAATTATTCAATATTATGTAAGACATCAGACATGTATTACTTTTCTTAACATTTGTATCAAAATCGTAGTTATACTCAGGAGGTATCCTTTATCTAACGGTATTTCGAGAAGGATCAATACTTTCAAACCAAAACAGTGTTGCAATTATCGTTATATATCTACCTTTCAATTGTGTTACAAATATATCAGCCATTACCAAAACAGATTTTAATTTAAATAACGACAAGCAAATGTCAAATTTTAGGTTTTTCTCTTAAATATATTATCTTGCATGCAAACCTTAACTTTGAGCTACAATAACTAAAAAACTACATAAAATTTTTAAATAATATTTAACTATTTTTGCCCACGCTCGTGACAGTGTGCGTCACTGTTTGCTATCAAAACAATGCATGTTTCATAAAAAGAAGAAGACAATTGTAATTATAATATGAAAAATAACGAAAACTTGAATTAAAAACAAAAAAATTTTATATTGAATTCTTCATAAATTATTCTAATCAATAAATAAAATATTTGAATGTTTATTTTTATAAAAATTATATTAATTTTTTTTTATCAGCTGTTTACACTTTTGTATTTCTTGCTCAAGTTTGAACCACCTCCATTGGGCGCTTAAACTATCAAACAAAATTAACTAACTGAGTACTCAAAAACAACTTCCGAAGATTAATTTTAATTTAATCGCTAATCGTTCGCGTAAAGATTGGCCCTAAATGATCGGAGGAATTTGTAATATTTTTTTACATTTTTGACCGATTATTGTGTTTTATATCTTATTTGAACGATAATTGAATATATATTCCAATTATTTGCTGTTAAAATCCAAAAAAATAAATTTAGTGCCGAAATGTTCGTAAAAATTGTTTTCCCTTTTAGAACCGTGGTGTCAGCAGTTAACGTGGTCCTATCCCGCTAAATTTTTCCGGAATGCATTCAATAACTCGCAACTTCTGTAAAAGTACAGAATTTTATATTTGTTGGGACTCAAGTACATAGTCAAAAGGAATAAAAGATGATAATGTGGACAATTTTTGTGTGATATGACTTTTTATTTCCATATTTGAAATCAGCACACTAAATAACACTGAGATTAGTGAAAATTATTTAAAAAGTTTTTTAATCGTTGGCCTGTGTAATTTTTCCTATCAAGGATTATGATATTTTAACGTTTTTTGGTATCAAACGTATAGAAACACATTAGTTTTTATCATATCCGTGCAAAATAAGTTTTCTCCGAATAAGCTCTGAAGCTAATTTTTTAAAAACAAAATCTATTTATTGGAATAAAATTAGGAAGCTATAGGCTATTAAAATTTAGTTTGATTGGACATTTAGTTTTTTAGATATCAACTATTAAAAATTGGTCGATTTTGGTGGGTTCAACCTTTAATTGTGATTTTCTCCACACAATTGTTGGTCAATTACACATTACAAGTAACTGTTATTGGCAAAATTTCAATTACAAATAAAAATTGCTCAATTACACATTACAATTAATTGTAATTGACCTTATAATGAATTGCTTTATGTATTTTATTTATTGCATATCGTTAGCTTAGTACGCAAACGTAACAAGTCCTCTTTTGAAAATTTTACAGGAGAAGCAAAAAACTTCATAACTTCTCTTGTATTTCATATTTTTAAAATCTGTAAACGTAGTTTTTTTCTTAGATTTCTGCTGTTGAATATTTATGGAGGTTTTGTTTTTTTTTTTTGGACTTAGCACGTTTTCTTTTTCTGAATTTTTATTTTTTGCTGGACTTAGCACATTTTCTTATAACTTTTTCCTTACGTACAGGTTCTATTTTGAAGATAATTTGATATAATTTGATACAAATATTTTGCTGTGTCCTTCGGACGAAGTGTATAAAATTTTGTTAGTGTAGGTCCACTATTTCTTATAGCCCTCATACAAGCGGCTGCTCGAAAAAGATATTAAACAGAAATAAATATGTTGAGAAGTAATCGTGATCAAATTTGGAGCAAGTTATTTTTTTATATTTAAATTTAAAATTATATAGTAAAGAATGGCGGACATCGGACTTTTTTTGATCCTTGCCCCCATATAAGATCCCCTTCAGAAAGCACTTTTTAACTCTCATAAATCTATTAAACCTATCAGTATAGCTTTGAAATGCTATATAGAGAAAACTTTAATGAACTTAAATTGCTACACTAATTTTAATGAGTATCGGTCCATAGTTGACCAAAGTCCCATATAAAGTACCCTTGAAAAAATTACTCTAACGCTTATAACTGTTTTTAAAATACCAGAATAGTGATGAAATCCGACATAAACAACAACATTTTATGAGGATCGGGCAATGTTTGACCCTACCCCAAAGACTTTAAAGCACACAACTGGCTTAAAATAGCAGTATAGCGATGCAATTCAACGTTAACATGTTTTATAGGAATCAAAATTTCTTTACTAACTACTATGACATTCGGCCCATAACTTACGCTATTCTCTATATCATCCCTCTTAAAAAATCAGTTTATTGTCAATATTTACTTGTTTTACTTTATTTTAAAATGTATTCCATGATTTCTTACTCAATTGAAGATTTTACAAACTACACACTATTTCCTAGACGTTGATGTACAAAATGATTGATATTTCTTTTTACATGACTAATTAATGCGTTTATAATAGCAAATTGTAAGGACTTAGCACTTTTTCTTTGTATATTTTTATTGTTTTGAGGACGTTTGCATACCGGATCAAAAGTACATGTTTAAAGTATAAAAAATTTAATTTTTTTATTATATCATGTGTATTTCAAGTTATACTACCATTCTGCATCAAAATCTCAATTTCTATAAAAAGCGGACTTGTTACGTTAACGACATTTTAAATATTTTAGAAAGACAAGAATTTCTTCGTATACTGAACCTTGCTTCCTGGACAAGAAGATACCAGTGACAAAGTTAAGTACTTAGGTGTAATCCTCGACCGGAAATTAAAATGGAGATCCCACATAGAGGATAGGATCAACAAGGCACATCGGTGCTGGGCGATATGTAGGAGAACTATAGGCATGAAATGGGGTCATAGTCCTACTATGACAAAATGGCTTTATAAAAGTGTAATTAGACCAATTCTAGCTTATGCTTCAATAATCTGGTGGACTGCTTTAGACAAAAAGTGCAATATCAAACTACTACAGGGAGTTCAGCGTACATGCTGCTTGGGTATAAGTGGTGCCATGTGTACTACTTCAACCAAAGCTGTGGAAACGTTGCTAGATATTCCACCCATTGAAACATATTTAAGATATGAGGCGGCGCTTACAGCCGAACGGCTCTTTACTTTAGGCGAACTGGCCAAAAGCGGTTATAGGACACGTCATCAATGTATACTGGACACATTGGAAGGTTATACACAATCATCGGACGTGCCTGATCGTATACCAGACACAGAATATGTCGGAAACTTTGACACGCTGATCCCAGATAGAATGTCTTGGTCAAGCGGAACATTAGAGCAAATACCATTAGGAATCCGTTGTTACACGGATGGCTCTAAATTGGGGGACAAAGTGGGGCTGGGTTTCTATATTGAAGACCCAGAAACAGAAATATACCACCGTTTACCAAATGATAACACAAGCTTCCAGGCAGAAGTACGAGCAATAACGGAATGCGTAAATTGGATTAGAATAAATATGGCGCCTAGAGCGCTTAATATATTTACCGACAGCCAGAAGGCAATTAGGGCGATATCAGGCGATAGAATTAAATCTAAGACCGTATTGGATTGTAAGAAAGCATTAACTGAATACTCTCCCAGAGGTAAGGTTCACATCATATGGGTACCAGCCCACTCGGGAGTAGTCGGCAACGAAAGGGCGAATGTAATAGCTTTAAAGGGAAGGGAGCTCGAGGCAGTTAACCTGACAAACGCAAAACCATTCGACGCAACAAAAGCTGAACTAAAAATATGGGTGAGAGAATCCCATAAGGCCTCTTGGAATAATGAAACAGTGGGTAGAACCACGAAGATCCTATGGGGTGACCCTGATGAGAGCGAGACGAAAAATCTCCTCAAAATGCGCAAGTCTGAAGTTAGTATGATGGTACGTATTCTGAGTGGACACACAGGACTACGAGCACATCTATGCAAAATTGGACGTGCGGATTCAGACGAATGTAGAGCATGTGGAGAGGACAGTGAAACTCTGGAGCACTTTCTTTGCCACTGCCAGGCATTCGTCGAAGTTAGATCCAAGTATCTTGGAAGTGATGTTATTCCGGAAATAACATTCCTGACTAACACTGATTGGAAGATTCTTAGGAATTACGTTCAGGAAACTGAGTTTCTGAACACTGAAAAATAATTCTTTCAGTTTTTTTTTCATGATAAGGAGCGCACAACAGGCCCGATAGTGGCCTAGGTGTATTTCTTCGGATTTGATGTAGTATACATCCTCCTATCGACCTACCTACCACCTACCTACCACCTACCTACCTACCTAAATTTTTTAGAGAATTTTTTGTTTTTTATACCATTATACCTCATGAAAACCTTTTTAATGCATATGTTTTGTCAGCCTGTTAATTATTTTATTATATTTTATAATTAACAGCATTGATAAAGTTTCTAAAGTGAAATCACCAGTTTTGGTAATCCATGGCACGGACGATGAAGTAATAGACTTTTCTCACGGTATAGGAATTTACGAAAGATGTCCAAAAGCAGTAGAACCGCTTTGGGTAGAGGTAAGTAATTTTTAAATATTTTTTTTATATTTTTTTATATTTTTAAATATTTCAAACCTTAATCCTTTAATATCCTTGAAATTCTGTATCTATTTTTTAATATGTTAAATTTACTAATATATCCTTTTTTGTTTCATGTAAAAAAGATGCTAAAAGTTATGTTAAATTCAAGTTAAAACATATTTTTGTTGAAATACTTTCTATTTTTATTATTTTTAATTAACACGGCAGTGGAAAAACGCACGGGAAAGCATTATTATTTAGTATAATTTACATTAATATCGCAATTTAGAAGTGCACGCCAGATGCATAAGGCAAAAAAGGTTTTAATTAAAACTAAACAAATTACAAATCACTTTAATCAAAACTAAATAAATTAAAAATTACTGTGGCATGGAAATAAAAAAGTGGGAAATAATTCAGTAATTTCTAAACGGTTTGTCCAATTCTAGTACAGTATAGAATATAAATAGACTATAGTGTTGTTGAGTTTAAGTTTTAAATTTGGACCTCATGGGACCACCAGGGACACCTCGCGTATGAACATTTTTTAAATCGATCCCGTTTATTCCTTTGTGTTCTAATTAAAGATAAAATTATATACAGAGTACGAATTATTATTTATATTGTATGCATAATACTTACTTGTTATTTTAAGAGCGGGTTTTTGAGTTGGGAATTAAATGCCAGTTAATAATCAGATTAAATTTAAAACAAAACAAATATATTTTGAAATGTCCATAATTTATACTAATCAATAAATCAAACATTTTAATGTTTATATTTATAAAAATTTTATTATTTTTTTTGCATCAGGTGTTTACACTTTTGCATTTCCATTGTGGGCTTAAACTTGCAAACAAAATTAACTAATTGAGTACTCAAAAAAACTTTTCTAGCTAATCTAAAGATTGGCCCTAAGTTACAACAGTTTTTGTCCCCAAAAACGTGACCTCGTCGCGGTAGGAGCATACTTCGTATATTTTGATATTGTGTGAATATTAGGTAAATATTTTTTACATATTATTGTTAAAGAATCATAATGTACATAGATTTAGTATTTCAAAAAGATGTAAAACACAAAAATTGGTTGAAAAATGTTAAAGTTATTAAAAATTCCCTATGCCATTAACGTGTCTCAGAGCACTGTATTAGGAATTGTGGAAAAAAAATTTACTTATTTTGGAAAATATTCTAATAAAACTATTATATTACATAAAATATATCTATATTTACTCGAATATAAATTTTTGTCCTTAAAAGATAGCGTAAACCTGTTCTCAACTATGATAAAAAAAATTATTTTTTTTACACGGTAGTTTCAAAACTCCATTTTCAGTTTTTTTTTTAAACTTTGTTAAACAAGTTTTAAATTTTTGATTTTTAATATTTTGTTTTAACATATTACGTTTTTGAGCAATATTTTTGGCTCACTTGGTTAGGTTCATTCAGAATAAAATCAGTTTACTGTTGGCAGTGGGTGAAATCTATTCATATTCTAGTGTCTGTGAATATAGCCCCTAACTAAAGAAGAAAATTGCTAAAAGCGTTTTTGGAAACTATTCTCAATCACAGGAATTTTGCAAAAAAAAAAAAAAAAAAAAAAAAAAATGGGCGAATTCAGAATGTTATTACCAATTTTATAAGAAAAATGTCTGAATATATACATAAATATAAAAATATAAAGCCTCTACCTGAAAATTTGTTTTTCGGCTATAAATTACTTAAATAAATCGGGACCAAGCACGTGGTCGAAATACGCATTCTGGCGTCATTTAATTTAAAACAGCGTTAAAACATAATTATTTATTTTTGTTTTACTTGGAAAAGTATAAAAAAGTAAATTTTAACAAATTTCATTTATTTTAATTATTTAATAATTTAGATATAAAAAAAATTGCACAATTGATACATAGTTTTACGGCAAAAATGAATGTTTTTAATCAGAATTAGAATTATAAGAACAAACAGCGTCTTCTTGTATATTTAAAACTAGTAGGAAAGCAAAAATAAAAAGTTTTGTGGAAATTGGGGACGGGACACGCCCATTATTTATTATTATTCAAACATATTTGTATTACATGATCGATTTTTAACAGCATTTAAGTTGTTCATCATTGTAGGTGTGGCTCCGCAAATGTGGATTCTGCTATAACACTAAACACTTTTCCATCTAACATGGTCATCATACACAAAAAACAAAATACACAACGCAATGAATAAGCAGTGTTGTTATTGATTATTTACCAAAGCATGAAAAAAATTTTCTTTTATGAAATTTTCAGAGGTTGTCTCGAGTTTTTGCTTATATCTCCGTTGTTTATGGACGAATTTTGCTGATTTTAAATAGGAAACTTCTCGTAAGCATGTCTGATAGAATTATTGAAGATTTGGATCCCAAAGATATCTGGGGTCTTCAAAAAACTGATTTCAACAGACAGAAGGGTATAAAAACAAACAAAATTTTACATTTCATTTTCGATTGTTCAGTTCGTTTAGTGTCATTTTCGAAACTAATTATTAACTGACCAAGGCAATTTTCGGTTCTATTAAATTAGTTGATAGTGCATTTAAACTTACCGTAAGTCATTTTTTTATAAAGCTACGTTCACACCTATCAAATATTTGTTGGCTGTAATGTGAACACAAAATATTTTTGAAGAGCAAACAAAATATCAATTTTCGTTAAACATTTTTATTTGTCAACCTACAAATATTTTCCCAATGTGAACACCAACTAAACTATTTAATTGAAATTACAATAGTTTTTTACGATTTCATAGAAATTTCTGCATAAAAACAAAAAATTAAATACATTTTTATTTCATAATGTGCATAGTAAGCACAGTTATAGTAAGCATAGGGATCATGGCATGTTTGGAAGCCATGGATCAACAACACCCTTTTTTTGTAAAGGCAGCAGGCCTGCCACCAGACTAAGGAATTAAAGGATGATAACCTCTGACTCCCTAAAACATAACATATCAACATTTCAAAAAGAGATATAAACAGGACCCCTTTTCAGATGACGACTAATGGCTTACGAAAAAGGACTCGATTTTCAACATAATGACGTTGAACCAGGTGGGAAAACTTGCACAATTAATATCTGAATGCAAAAAGCTTCATATTGATGTACTTGGTATCAGCGAAATGAGGCGGAATACATGTGGCGAGAAGCACACTTCAGAAGGTGACCTGATACTGTTTTGGCTTACGAAAAAGGACTCGATTTGCCCAAAAGAACGTGAGGACGTTGAACCAGGTGGGAAAACTTGCACAATTAACATCTGAATGCAAATATCAGCACTCTTACGCTGAAACAGATCAGAAAGAACAGTTCTATAGAACACTGGACCGCAACCTTTCGCAGATAAATTATAATGATCTTTTTGTTATAATGGGTGATTTCAACGCGATGGTCGGGAGATTGAATGAGGGCATTGAACACGTTATGGGACAGCAGCGGATGGGATCGAAAAATGAAAATGGTGGTCTTCTAATAGAAGCCTGCTCTAACCATAACCTGATGATTGGCGGATCGATGTTTATGCACAAGGTACAACATAAAACAACATGAACGGCCCCAAACCCCACCCTGCTAGTACGAAATTTTCAGCTGGATATGCATCAGCAAGCGCTGGATTCATACTCTTCTCTACGTAAGAAGCAAGCAAAGCGCTGAAATTGGGAGTGATCACTCCTTAATTGTGGCTGAATTGAGACTTTAAACGGCCCCCTTAATACGGGAAAGAATGCCAGGCCGAAGGAAATTTTAAATATGGAGACTGCAGGATGACAACATAAAGCCGAATTTCGTGGAATCCCTTAATGCAAAATATGCAGAACGGAGTAGCGGCACTGAACACGCAATCGAAACTCTTTGGAGAATGCTAAATCTTCAATATTGGATGCCGCAAAGGAACGGCAAAAAAGAATGCTAAGGAATGTTTATCTGCAGCATTTCGGAAGATTGTCGAGGAACGAGCGGCGCAAAAAGCTAGATTGCTATCTCTTCCCAACACAAGGATCACCACGGAGGCACAACGAAAAGTGGACAATTTAACTAAACAGATAAAATGTAAGGCATGAAACGACAAGCGATCATATTTTAGGAGATTTGCGCAGGAGGCCGAAATTGCTGCCGGTAAGGGCGACATGAAAGAAGTGTTTGCAATATCAAGAAAAAAGTAAAAACAAACAAAACTACAATCTATCGAAATTGATAAAATTTCTCGATAGTTAAAATAATTACTATAAAATCGTATAAATACCATCAAGCATGTATATTGTATACATGGAAAATAGCTTTGACGATTTAATGACGATTTAAATAACCAAATTATAAATTATTTTCATTAAATTATCTATAAAATTATAGAGAATTGTTTATTATTAATATATTTCTATATCCATTAATATAATAAAAATTGTTTAAAAAAATTGAGTAATAAATTAATTAAATAATTTCTCAAGTAATTACTAGTCTATAGACAAGACTATAGACTAGACTAGACTATTGACTAGACTATAGACTAGACTATAGACTAGTCTATTTAATTAAGTAAAAAAAAAAAAAAAAAAAACGAAAAACTGAGATTTTCAGTGAAATTCGGTACAATCATTCTTCGTATACGAAATACGAACAATTAAAATTCATATTTTTTAAGATTTTCAACAAGCTTTAATTTTGAACCTCGATAAAATATGAACCGTAACGAATTTAATTTTGGAGAACTTTAAATTCCGTATTTACATGAAGAATATGTTTACCGAATTTCATCGAAATTGGAGAGGGTCATGTTCAAAATCCTACTTTTTTGTTCGGAATTTTTTGCAATTACCCCTTCCTTTATCATTATATTAACAATATAATAAGGGGATTCATGAAACACGTGTGCAAACTTTCACATTTGCACAAATGGCTATTTGCATTATTTAGAAGAAAAAAATTAGTTTAAAATGATCAGTTCAAATATGCGATCAAATATATCAGTGTT